ATCTCAGCAATTCATAAACTAAATGGCTCCGATTCTTGGCTCCAACCAAAATTCAGTTGCAAGTTTAAATTCTTTTTTTTCAGTTTTTGCGCAGCAGGTTCCAAGCTGAGAAAGGTGTAGCACTGATCAGTGCGAACTGCCCGTCACCTTGAAAGTGCACGTGGTGGCACATGGCGTCATTTCGGGGCAATGACCAGGAAGGGCAAGAAACTGGAAAGCTAGCTGCCGTTGTCAAGGTCATGATGGTTTCCGATCATTCATAAAGACCAGGAAGCTGGTGCCGCTGGAAGGCATTGGAATAGCGGCCCAGGAGGAAACTGTATCCATTACCGGACTGAACAAGGATGCGTCGACCCTTAAAGGTGGGGTCCGCGATCAGGCATAGAAGTTGAAAATATGGTGTCGGGAGTGTAGTGTTGTCCGTGACGAACAACCTTGTACCGGTTTCGCATCAAAAATTGTAAGGGAGGGGCGCTATAGCGCAATATAGGTCCAGTGACGCCTCCTTTTTCCAGTGACTCCGCCTCCAGACTCCGCCCTCAAGGCCCACCTTTCAGTGAAAAACGAAGCCGCAGCAGGACGAAAAAGCATGAAAATTGTCACTTGAACGGTCGTAGAGTTCTTATCGGGGAATCAGGTGTGCGGATGAAGGCCTAATGTTGGAGATGCACGTACAAACTGGGATCGGAATGAGGTTCTATTGAGGACAGCTGGCACGTTTTTTTCTGCTTTTTTTTCTTCGAATGACTCACAACCTAATCATCTACATGCAAACTCCTGATCCACTATCTGTGATGGTGAATGATTGCGGGCTTTGCCTTTAAGCGATCCCTTGTCGGGGTGCGCACCTGAGCGCCCATTCGAGATCCTAGCGATTCTGAGATGCGTCTTAAAGGCGCTATCATGAGTTGCGCTAGCTGAATGAAAAAATTTCGGCGTTTTCATCTAAAAAACCAGTTCAGGACATTTCAGCGACCACGATGCGGTGGAAGACCTGGAGGACCTTTTTGAAATCTCATCCGCCCCATCCGAATAACCCTGATATTTCAAAAACCCCACCTGAAGCTGTCTCACATTCGCCGTCGACTAAA